TTAGAGGGAGACATGGAAAAGTAAATATCTGCAAAAAGACAGCACAAGCATTAGCAAATCCTATTCTATAGCTGATTTCAAAGAAGGTGTCAATTTCACCTAACTTTAAACTCCTCTAAGAGATTCATGCTAAGATCCCTCTGTAGCAAATGAAGAGAGACAAACACATCAGGTGGTTGATTCATCTCATCAACTAAACGTAACTGCTTAAGGTAGATGGGATGATATTCATTATTGAAATGCCTATTTTTTTCCATTAGTTTCAGTAATCATCTAGATACTTGACTTGAATAAGATGCCCAGCTTTTAAATTGCTACATATAAGCAAGATTAATACCAGACACATAAAGTCTTCTTTCTGACAGTAACTTGTGTCTCACAGTAAGGTATGATTTAGATGACTTTGTAAGTATTTGGATTTGCTAGAAACTAATATACAAGATAATTACCTAATAACTACTTTTCTGTCTAGCAATCACATTCACATCTGGCAATCACAGTATGGATTAAATGGAAAAAGAAAAACAACGAGAAAAAAAGCAGAGAGATGAAAATTTTACCTGAATAAGATGGTGACTTCATTGTTTTCCTTTGCATAGAACTTAAAATTCTCAAATCTAAATAAAGTCTGTTGATCCAGATGCCCCCAAAAACTATGAAAGTCAGTAGATGAAATAAGCACACAGGCTCATAACATAATAATCTATACATATTATATTGTATTTGTTATTCAAATGTATTGCTTCCTAGCTCACTTACAAATATCAGCTAAAAAAGTAAAGTTACGTGGGAAACTGAACAAAGACTAAAGAGAAGGAAGGAAGAGATTTGAGACACCTCCTCATTCCGTTCAGCTCACTACCAAACCACAGCAATGGGCACCCTTGAGAAACAGACCAGAAGCAAAACAGGACAAGACAACTAAATGGAACTGTCACATGATCCTGTGATGAGAAAAATATTTAATTGCAGAGTTTTCTTCTCCAAATTCTCTCTAAAAATCCTTTCAGGAATAAGCAAAGCTTTTATCAATTCTTCTTGAGATAAGAGGGATAAAGATAATCAACATACATATTAATTTGTAAATAATAATCAACAAAACCTACCAACAAATTATATTTACATGTCCTTCATCTCCCAATTTAATAACTTGGCACCTTCCTCTGCATAAAAATACACAGACTACTTGTCTGCAAGTGGGATCACATAGTTATTACCACTGTACTATCTCTCCAGTCATAAAATCATTTACCCCTGCTTGTGTAGATTAAATTGTGGAGAACCTAGAGAGATACTGGGCAGTAGCCCAGGAAAACAGCTCTCTTCAGCAGAATAGATAGGAAATGCAGCTATATTGTCTGTCTGAAATCATGGGGTACTTAAATTCAAACTCCTTCAGTTGGAATAGACAGAACAAACCAAGTCGAAAGACTAAGTTTGAACAATCCTTGACAGAGGTTTGAAATCTTGCTTCTATGAAAGAGCAAGCAACCGAACAAAGGCCACACCAGGAGCTAAATCCCAAGACCCAAATGAAAAGAGAAAATGGCTTTAACTGACTGTCAAAGAAATGGCAAAACAGCAAACAGGCTCTACAGGAAACATCCAAGACAGCAAGATGACACTTAATGGCACAAGAAATTCACACACTACACTATATACTGAGCAGCAAAGTAAAGCGGAACAAGAAATAGTAAGATTTAGAAATAGTAAAGATTTGCCAAGATACTAACACAACTAACATCTAGAATATAGAAAAGAATGGGAAAGGCAGAAATAAACCCACCTGAAGTATTCCAAGTCCTGCAGTTCAGATGTCAAAAGAACATAGTTTATCTAAATGTAGCTCATTTAACATTACTTAAAATAAAAACAAAAGAATTCTATCAAACAAATGCCAGTAACATTGGACAAAAAGACATTACAAGATGATAAATTAGTTTGATGAAATGCCTGATCTTATTCTAATAAAAGTATTCGTTCATTATCACTATTGTCTCTTTCAGAGAGATAATAACATAATAATTATTATGGATTAAAATAACTGCTGCACAACTTCTGTAAGTTCTACAGAAATAACTATTTCCAAGAAGTACATTGTTGATTTATAATGTATTGTGGCAGTAGAACAGTTTTGGGTTTTTTCCTCAAGATAGTGGTCGAAAGTCACCATGGAGTCTATAAAATTATTACATGCTACACCCCACCCCTCAGCATTAAAGTAACTCTTGCTGGATCAGTACCGCTCATGTGATCCAAAAGAAGTACAGAAAACTGTTTTCAGTCTCACTTTCATAGGAAAATAACCTGTGCTATGACTTTAAGCTACTTACAAGCCTTTGTGAATATAACTCTACTCAGGATAGGAAAAATACATAACATGGACTAGTCCATGCTACTTACAAAGTGGCCAGCTTTCTTTTGGCCCCAAGACTTATTTTTTTTTCCTTTCTCTCCTGTCTAGTATTAAGTTATCTCTTATGATGACAATTGTATAATGGTCACTGGAACATTTTTCCAGAGGGGGAAAAAAAATAAAGTATGTATGGAAATGCATATGGAAATTCAACACACTCCCTCATATTTCCCAACACAAAAATGCTTTAAATAAGTGAAAATACTATGTCACCACAATAAGCAAATGTCATGCAGCTACTGCAGGTCTCTACGTGAGAAATCATACCAGAATATTGATTTATGCAATGCTCTCACAAGATATGTTTATAAACAGAAGCAGTGACCAGTACTTGAAAATAAATCTGGTTAATATAACACAGTATACAGACAGAGTGTATAGTCCATAAACAGAAATGAAGATCAAGGAATATTTTCTCCTCCATAGCAGAGAAGACGAGGGACACAAGTAAAATAGTATCTCCAATTACCACTGAAATGGGAGTTTCCTCAAAATACCACAGCAAGAAAACTCCTCAGCATTAGCACAAGAAGCTAAATAAATAACATTATTCTGTGCATCATTTTTCTAACATTTGAAAACAATTTTGTTTCAGAAAGATCAAGTTAGATCATCAACTAATGTAGAACTTTCTTTCCTGCTTCTTAATGATACCTGAGGGATCTACTCATAGTTTCTCAACAACTTTTAAAGATCGGTCAAGTTCTCAAGGAATTATGATGTGATTCTCTATTCCATGAAATCTCAAAATTCAGAAGAAAATAATTTCTGCCTTTCTAAGATGAAAATGCTCTCTCACATCTCTTTTTGGTTTGGTTTGGGATTTTTTTTGTGCATCAGTAGGTAGGCAGCACTAATTTTTTGATTTCTTAATAGCCTTTAACATCTACTTAAATCATACAAGAAAAACCCCACTAAAAAGTCTAGTCCAAGCACTGCTTAAGTCTACAGGCTCTGATTTCTCCTTCAAGACTTGTGCTAAGATACTCTGTCAGTTCACCCTGCTCCTTGTGAACAGGCTTCCATTTCAAAAAGCCCACTGTCACACACTGTACTAACCAGGCACCTTGAAGGTGGCATCCAGTGAGTGCTGCTGTTTGCAAAGCCTTTTTAGCATTCTTAAATTACTATGACATTGGGAAGACTAATATCTTAGCCTGTCATTTTAAATACTACTCAAGCATATATTTTAAACACAAAGACATCTGTACTTTATCTGTGTTCTCTTTTCTGACTGTAGACAGACAAGGATCACTGCTTCCATGATTTTGCCTGTGGAGTAGAACTGACAAGTAATGTCCCAAAAGACCACTTACTTGAGAAACTGCAACTTGTAAGGGACATTTTATCCTCAATACTGCATCCAAATAACTGGATAAAGAGGTAGAAAAAGACCTGCCAAAGTTCTAGGTCTGATATGAACTTCCATGTACAAAGACAGGGTATGAGAATAATAATAAATATAGTATAAGCAACAATTGTATTTAAAGAAGTATTTAAATCTACAGAACACTACTCTCAAACAAAAATTTCCTACAAAATATTAAAAACCCATAAGATATCAGTGAAAGCAAAACAGGCTTCTAACAGAGGAAAAAGAAGAAATAAATGTAGATGGGATAAGAAAAATTAGAATTCAGTGAGCCTGAGAGCCACAGCAGCATGGTTTTGACACCTCTGATACCACTATTTTTAAGCTGATGTTTAAAAGAGCAGAATAACTTCTCATCAACAACTTCTCCTTCCAGTTATAAGTGAACAAAATAAATTGATTATTTCAGAGAAGCTGAAAAAGATGGCACATAACTAGTTACACCAAATTCTTAGTACACTTTATATACCCAGACTATCACTCTCAGATCCAATGTCACTCAGAGATTGTGCTATGCATCAGGAATATTTGGATAACCAATTAAGGCAGTCTTGCAATCACCTCACTAAGAGCTCACTAAGAGCTATAAACATTAGTCTTCCAATGCATGTGACTTAAATATTAAAGATATTATAAGGTTTCCCTCTAGAAGCCATTTTAGGATTTAGGGATTTCTAGGGATTAGGTGTCAGTCATTATCATTCTGGCACTAGGAATTCACAAGCAACAATTTTAAAAATGGCAAAATTAATTATGTTCAAGTGCCAAATGCCTGAGTTCTTGACTCACTCTTAATTCAGAGGAGCAATCTGTAGCTCCCCTGATGGCTTGGAACCTTTAATTACTTATCACAGCCTGCAGGCCAAGCATTCTCACAGCTATAAGGCCATCACAGGTGTGGTGGTAATTGATACTGTTTACATACATCATTTTATAATTTAAACACACAATTCTTTATCTATAAGGATATTCTACATGTAGATGAATAAGTTATTACACTACTGCAGTTAGTTCATTTTTGCACCAACTTAACTCATGGTAACCACCATGTGTTAAGAACAGACAACATCAAAACAGGCAGGCAAGCAGCTGTTGTAGGATAGCTTGTCACTTGCACCTTGTTTCTTACTCATTGCAACTTCCCTATCTGCTCCAAGAGTAACCATGAAGATGGAAGTCACTGGACTAAAAGTTCCGTGCAGGAGTACTTACCATGAGTATAGGATGCTTGCCACTACTGGTGCAAGTTTTCAGTTTTCTTTTGCTTTGCAAGCCTGCAGTCAGCTACAATAATTAAAATAAAAAAAGACAAAAGGATTCACATCTCAATAGCCACCTTCTCTGCTTGACAATCAGTGCTCAGTCACAACAGCTGAAAAGCTGAGGGAGAGTGGAAGGGAGGTTTGGGATTATTTTTTTTTTTAATCTTTTGAATTTCACAGGGCAATATTATATTTTTATCTTCACATTCACTAGCAACTTATACTTGAATCAGGTCTATCTGCTTTAAAAATACTATAAGCACATTTCTAATGGTTTTACTAAACTGAATGACCAGTTTCAGGCTTCCATTAATATATTTCAACAAACTGTACAACAATGCTATGTATCTAATAAGAAGTGATCTCATACTAGTCTCTAATAATCTAAATTTATGGTAATTGTTTTTCTTTCCGTGAAATTATGACAGTTGGGAAGGCTGGACTTTCCAAGAAATTTCATTTCAAAGGAGCATGGGATGGCAAGCATTTAATAACTTGATAGTTCATGTTCAAAGATGGAATTTGTTAAGAAATAATGGTGAATCTTAGCCTTACCTTGTGAAAAAAGCTGTAGATTTAGATGATCATGTAATTATGTTAACATAAGTACCTTGTGCAATTATCAGGTAGTCTTTCACAAAATGTCACACACAGTTTTTAGAGATTATATTTTTAATTAAAGTTCCATGCAAACAGTTCAAGTTTGTTTTTTCCAATTCAATACTCTACCACTGCCTCCACACAACAATGCAGCTAAGATACACCACACTTCATTAAGTCCCAGCACAAAGAGCAGAAAACATTACTGTACTTGATAAATCCTGTTAATAATTTTTGTACTGCAATACTACTTCAGAAGAAGAAGATTTGTGTTGTAAATAATATTGTTTAAAATATTCTAAGACTTCTGTTCTGTTTGGACAGAGCCCACAGCATGCCTATTCCAATTGCTTTCACTGTGACTCAGTTCATAAAAATTTTATTTCAAAAGGTTACTACTCATCAAAAGAAGCTGCAGATCAGAAGAAATACAGGTAAGAAAAATTAGTTTCTGTTGGCTCTTGCTCAGTGCAAGCCTTCAGAGTCTAAAAAGGAGCAGTTCTTGAATTCAGAAAGGGCCTTGGATAAAAAAGTCAAATCTAGACACTCAAGCCACTGATCGTTTTTCTTTGAACAAAATGTCCAAAGAAGGACTAGCTCTGCAGTGCTTGGAAAATGTAAGTAGAAAGAATGCTAAATTAACTGGATAACCAAGAAGCCTCCCTTTTCCCTGAAGGTAGACCTCAGCCAGTTCAGTCCAAGAAATATTAATTCCCAAAGGACCAGAGGTTTTTGCAGTGTTGATACTTTCCTGAATTAAATGGGGGAAATCATTCTAATTTCCTTCCTTTGGAATTCTTCAAATAATGTTTGACAAAGGAAGAGTATTGAGACATTACAACAATCAATAAATTCAGTTTCTGTTGCCTGAAAGATTTAGTAAAGGAAAGAAGAGAACTGAACATCTCAGTTCTGGAAATAGTAGTTTATGTTAATACAACATGAATGATTATCTGGAGAAAAAAAAGAAAGCAAGGGAAAAATCAGGCAGATGGAGTAAATATATTCTCTTCCGTATAAGCTCAGGTCTCAGAAATGGAGGGATAAAACCCTTTCACTGGCGAACTTTTCCAAATTCAGCTAAATTCCATTGACACCAGCAAGAAGCTTCTACATACTCCTACAACTGGTGCTGCCAAAGATAAGGATTGTAAAGCCCAAGACAATCAGATTTATATTAAACATAAACTTTTTTTCTTAGCTTTTTCAAGCCTATAATAGAGATTCAAATGAAAAAGAATTGCCATCTGTTGAACTGCATCAGACTAGTGACATTGCTTCTTTTAATTTATTTAAGCATCTGTCTTCAAAAATAAATTGGTTAACAACTCTTAATACTCCATGATTATTTGGTATGTGATGCCAAAAATTGCTACAATAACTAACAAACAAAATAATTTCTGAGAGCTGTGACAGGTCTGTCTCTTATCTTCATTAAATGAAGATATGACCAAATAGGAAGGTGACCCTTATTAATTAGTTTATTAGGTTTTTTTTAAATTTGTTAACAAACAGCCAAATAACCATACAAGACAATCCTCAAACAGGAAGAAAAATTAAAACAATATGATGTAGTCATAATCCTTTAGATTCTGATCACCCTCCTTCACTTTCTTCACTTTGTTTACACTATGTTTAGAGTTGCAGAATTAAGTGATAATTATTAAGCAAGGTGGTTTCAAAGATTAACAATCTGAAGAGGGCATGAAGGAAAAGCAGAACTACAAAAATAGGAATAGGCTGACTTGGCTAGTATCTTAACCTGCTACTGAATGGTCTCTGCAGCTTTCATGATAGCCAAATTACAGAAACTTTCTAGATCTTAACAGTCTCTTCAAATGAGCATTTTAGATTCCAGGTTTTTTACCATTATTAAGAGAATTTTTACCATCATTAAGAGAATCTGGATTTTAATTTGCTTCTTCATTTCCCAAAATTCTCACCTAAATTTAACTTTTTCAGTATAAACAAGAAATTATCCAGATACATCTTAACAATAACTTCAAATTTTCAAGTTTGTTGCCTTAATTTATATCTGACCCCTATTTGAAAATGCTATTAATTTCTTCTAAAATCAAAGACCAAAAGCACAGCAAAAAAATAATATTAAAAGACTATCATACTCACCCCATATATGAACTTCAGACCTGCTCACATCAGATTTTCACTGTGTACCCACTGAATGGTTTCTTCTTCTATCCTGAGGAGTTCAAGATGAAAGAAAAACCCTTTGCCTCTCATCAGCAAGTTTGCAATTGTAATCAAGCAGGTTTGTTAGCAACTTACTGAGTTACAGTGATTTTGAGTATTAAATTAGGACTGTAATTTTATTTTTTATATAAAAACATATGCTAAAATCAAGATAATTTGCAATTTAATCAAGAATTCTGCATACTTGTTCTACTTTTCCCCATCAATAGAATGTGAACAAAATTAACTTCACCTCATTCCCAAATAAATCTTTTAGCTATTCTATCATTCTCCTTCCTGTGTGCTTTTATTAATGCTTTGCAAACAATCTACTGCTAGTTTTGTGAAGCTTGTAAATTCTGCACTAAGAACCTAAGCACTGATCCACATCTAGAACTGAGATTTGTGGAGAGATGTGATCATGCTATTAATCCACCAATGATTTCCAGAATGTTTGATTTACAATGTGAATATAAAAAAGTAGAAGATTCCACTCAGCCTATTATGAAAATAACTTTAAAAATAAAGTACTACAAGGACTTCCTTGAACCTCAGTGTGAAGGGTAGCAATTATGATTATGAATATTAGTTAAATGAGCCATGTAGTCTGCTAAGAAAAATAGCACTGATTCAAGTGAATCTGAGCAGTGAGTGGCACACAACAGACACTGGTTATATCTTCTTTATCTCGTGGCCACTGCTTCTCTGGGCATGGAATGAAATCCAGAATCAACAGGTGTTTTGTACAACACACTCAACAAACAAATATTTTGAATTACAAAACTAACAGCTAGCTTTCTTCCAGCACCCAGAAACATTTTGAACTTTCCAAGTCACATTCAATTAACCTTTCAGACACTCCATGGCTGCCTGCTATGATTAGAAGTTTATTCAACCAGTGTGTTGTCTCAAAACTAGCATTCTGCTGCTATAAAATCCTAGGTTCAGACCCATACAGATCCTTATAGCTGCTATTTTATCATGTGTATTAAACAGAACATGCTTCCTAAAAGAGAGTATGGTACTCTTCCCAATTCTCCTTGATACCAGCTCTGAAAGGTATCCAAGTGATTCCACACAGCCCTCCAACCATCAAGGTCTAAACCTTGCTGTAACTAAATGACACTGAGGAAAAGTGATGATCTACAGAATCTTCTGTTTTGTCCTACAAACAGATGCAGCTATGGAGCTCTAGACAGAAATACACTGTGCTAGAAACAAAATACAGCTGCAGTAAAATATAGCTGCAATAAAAGCAGATACACATTTTCAATTTAGAACTGTAACTTCTCAATGTCTTGTATAAAAAGGCTGGGCAGATTAAAAGGAAAGCCACAGATAATACTGGTTCAATGAATCTCTAAAACCTTATAACAAAATAACTTTCATCCAGGCTGTACCTAAAATTCCAGCTTTTTCTGTGTGTGTCAGAACAATACATCAGACTTTCAATCTGACCAGAGATGTACAGTTTTGATAGAAAAGAACACTTTTCTATCAATTTAGAATGAGATGTTTTACAAAATTGCAAGTTGGCATGATTTAATATTTATATGTTCATAGCACTGGTGGCTCAATTAGTTATGATTAAATGCTGTGCCAGCATAAGAGAGGGTAGTTATGGACCCCTTCCTATGGAATTTATGTCAAAAATTAAACAGAAAATTAGTAGGGTGGGCAGTCCTACAGACTACAAAACCATGCCATACTTAAAGTTTTCTACTGTCAAAAACAGCCTGGCTGGGATCAGATTGCAAATGTCTGCTTACATTTGCAACAACACACAGCTTTAAAGAGCCTGAAACAAATTAGGATAATTTAAGTTTAATTGACATGTGTAAAAGATGTCCTGGGAAATACAAAACAAGTTATACAATATTCACATTAGAATGAAGCACCTCCTGGGCTTAGAACTTTCATTTGTGTCTTGCATAAGTTTAAAAAACAAAACAAAAAATAAAGATCTGAATAAATAAAGTATCTAACCACACATTACTTAAGAAAAAGAAAACACAATGTGACTATAAATATTCAAAAATTCTTCATACTACTATAGTAAAATGGTTTGGGTAGGAAGGGACATTAAGATTATCAACTTCCAAACTCCCTGCCATGGGCAGGGACACCTTTCACTACCCCAGGTTTCTCAGAGACCTGTCTAACTTGACCGTGGATACTTTTAGCAATGAGGCATTGAAAACTTCTCTAGGCAACCTCACCATCCAGAGCCTCACCACCCCCCCGTAAAGAATTTCTTCCTTGTATTTAATCTAAGCCTACTCTCTGTTTGAAGCCATAGCCCCTTGTCCTGCCACTACAGGCTCTTGAAAAAAGTCCATCTCCAGCTCTCTTCTCCCCTTTATGTACGGAAAGATGGTCTTAGGCCTCCCTGGAGCTTTTTCTTCTCCAGGTTGAACAATCCCAACTTTTTCAGCTTTTCCTCATAGGAGAGGTGCTCCACTCCTCTAATCCTCTTCACAACCTTCCTCTGGACTGACTCCAACAGGTCCATGCCTTCTTGTGCTGAGGACCCAAGAGCTGGACACAGTATTTCAGGTAAGGTCTCACCAGAGCGTGAGGTACTATCTAAGGTATTTCTTTTTCAGTAAGACCTATACACATGATATTCAGAGACCATCCATAGAAGAGGTCCCTCGAACTTAATCTTGCATTGTGCCAGGCCAGCTGCAGATCTCTTTGCATGAATTCTTGCTTTTTTTCACCACAGGTCCCTTCCTACTAAGTTCTGATGGAATTGTTCTACAAGGGCCACCTGTAGAACACTTCTCCATTAATACAGGATAAACAAGCATAATTTTTTAGCAGGTTTATTGTTTTTCACTCTGACAGCAGGGTGGTAGTGTCTCCCACTCTATGTACTCCTATCCCTTTCAACAAGCAAAAGCTGAAACTGTGTAAGAGATCTTCAAGGGATTTGGAATGTGAGTGGTCTCATTCTCATATACATGGTACAAAATGCCTATCTGTGAGTCCGAGAATTTTCTTAAAGCAGTTCATTGGTGTAGCTGTTGCAGAATTAAAGTCTGAATCTCTAGAAGATCTTTCTTCAGTGTATTGATCACTAGTATTTTTTAAATTAAAATACAACATAAGAGTCTGAAACTAAGGCAGGTCTCTAAAGACAATATTTTTTAAGAGCATTAGTTAGAGAAGAGTGATCTGCCTTTGTTAATACTGTCAGCTTGCAGATTCTCATAGCAAGAGATTAACAAGAGTTACTATTTCCAGAAGGACTGATTGAGAAAAAGAAAATAGAGCAGTATTATAAGATTCTGTTATAAAACAAAATAATTTCAGCCATATCCCATTTGCACAGTCACACAAAACTGCTTCACAGGTAGTCCACTGGAACTCTAGCTAGATCAAGGCAAGTTTGGGTCAGTTTTCAGATTTGAAAGACTCCAGAAAATTGAATTTTCTTTATTTAGGATGAGTATGCAGCTTGTAAATGCAGAAGTACAGTTTTTAGTAGATCTTACAGCAGACTTTCTCTTTTTATAAAAGCTGACAGGATTAATTAAATTCAGAGATTTCTCAGCATTTTAGCATATGCTGCACGTTCATCTGACATTTTGTTCTAACTTCATCATGGTTTAACCCCAGCCAGCAACTAAGCACCACACACTCAATTTCTCACCTTCCCTACTGCAAAGAGAATTGCAAAAAAGAAAATAAAACCCATGGATCAATGTAAGAACAGAAACAAAATAAAATATTATAATATTTCAGTATTATAGTATTATAATTTATTATAATATTAATATCAATTGTAATTAAAAGAAGGTAGGGCAGAACAAAACTCAAGAAAAACAAATTATTCTCACTGCAGTTTCTTACCACCTGCTGAAAGATGCCCAGCCAGACTACGAGCAGCCATTGGCAACTCCTGGTCAACTTGCCCCGGTTTATATACTGGACATGGCATTCCATGGTGTGGAATATCCCTTGGGCCAGTTCAAGTCAGCCATTCTGGATGTACTCCCTGTCCCCACCTTGTTGTGCAGCTCCTCACTGGCAGAGCATGGAAAACGGAAAAGTCCTTGAGGAGTATACACTCCTCAACAACAACTAAAACCTCAGTGTGTTATCAACATTACTGTCATACTAAATTCAAAACACAGCACTGTACTAGCTACAAGAAAGAGAATTAACTCTATTCCAACTGAAATCAGGACAAACTTTCAACAAGAACATTTGAAATGTACTAAATGGACAGTACATATCCTCAGCTATTGTGAGATGTAATCATTAAGATCACAAATGACCCAGTCTTTGGCATACGTGGACTATATGATACCTCAGCATGCAATCTATACAGTACATACTATCATCAGAGAGAAAGTAAATTCATCTTAATTTCATTAAGGTTGTAAAAAAACAAGGCTTAATAAAATTCAGAAACAATAGATAAAGTTCTTCAGCTCTCCCCAAAAATTCAATAGGTACTACACTTGTACTAGTTGTAGGACTAAATAAAGTGTGTTTAAATGCTGCAATAGTTTTGAACTAATTGCTGTAGGAATGATCCAAATAAGTTTCTGCTCTTCCAATTTTCCTGAACTCCTGTAAATCTCTGACAGAAATATAAATGCTTTTCAAGGGCAATTTTGAGCTTACACTTGAAAGCACATTTAGACTTACCCATATTTAGAATGGACTAAAGATAAGGAAAGGTTGCTGAGACAGGAGTGCCCCTCAGTGGCAGTATGTTGATATAAAATACAATTATATGATACTTTAAAATCATATTTTCATTACTTATTTTCATCACTCAAGGACAAATGCACCATCAAATCACATTCTTTCAAAACTTCATCATTACTGAGAATCTGAGGGGGTTTAGCACATACAATTTAATAATGAATGAATATAAATATGTACATCATGAGGTAAAAATATTTACAATGAAACAACAGTTTATAATACTTATAGCTGAGTGTTTTGTGGATGGGTGTGTGCATGTGCCTACACTTTCCTGTTATATTTAAGAAGAGAGATGGAATTTTGCGTATAGATTTCTCACAACAATTCTGCAGCATTCAAATTGTTTATTTTCTTCTGTGTCAGGAGCAGCAAGAAAACATGCAATAGTTCTTTGAGAACTTCAAAAGCTACAGGATCTAAATTGCCTGCAAGGCTTGCTGTGTGTACCAGCTTGTATTAATTTGCTCAAAGACTAAAACTGTGCCACGCTTTGTACTGTTCACACACATACTGCTTTCAAAGTCTGTCCCAGAACCCTGCCTAGGTTCCTTCCTCCCCAGTGTTGATTAAAGAAGCATAAATCAAGAATATTCACTACTATAGACTTACACAAATGGCACCTCACTGCAGCTGATCTGGGAACAACTGAAGGATACTAAACAATTTCATGGCAGAATTGGAATAGAATAGACAGCTGTTATACTTTGCATGTTCATTAGCACTTGTTCTATAATCTGGCTATTTCAATATTCTTGTTAATTTAAATAAAAACAGGCCTTGAAGCATAACTATAGTTTAAATATTTTAAGCTAGATAAAGCTTAAATACAAACAGAAAGAGCCTTACAAAGATTCTTAACTACAACCTAAACAAAGGCACATTAAATTCATAGCTATGTATCAGTGATTGATGTAATAAGCATTACTTTGTAATTTAGCCTAAAAACATGGTGCTATTAATTACATGTAGGAAGATACTGGCAAAAAGAATGGAGGTCCTTACTTGGATAAATATATACCATAATCTGTCTTCTATAAACTGTTGTTGCTTTCCCTTCAAAGAGTAAGAGTGTTCTCCCAACGGCACCCCCTCTATAAGCTCCATGACTATGTACAGTCTCATAAAAGAAATTAATAGAACATTATATTTATACAGAAACTATTTTAAAATAGAGTACTTGAGGTAAAAATGCATTTTAAAAGCATTTAAAATATTTTTAAAATATTTAATTTTTTTAGCTTTTAAAATTTAATTTGTACATACAGATAGACCTTAATTTAGTTCTACTCTTTTTTATTCAATTTTTTCTTCAATTTATGTCAGAACTAATTTTTTTCCCGATTTTTTCTTCAATTTATGTCACAGAACAATACGGAAATCACTGCCTGATTCACTCAGCAGGCAGATATGTGTAGATAACTCTCTATTGAAAAGAAAATTAAAACAATATGGCTGGAAATCTATATCACTATTCACTCTACTACTTGTCATAGTCTATTTAACTTTTAGTTCCTGGGCTATTTGTTGTTTTGGGGGAGGGGGCCTCCCCTTTAAATATGATTTTTTGTACTGTACTTTAAAATAAACTTCTATTCATAAAAAATTCCCAGGAACTGTTGGCACTTTCATTGTGCAATGATAATAGAGGGAGCTACCTGTAATAAACTGGCTTTTTCAGCATTCCTTTCTTTGATAAAACCAGCTTTGCTATTGCATATATTCCATTTGCCTGGAAACAGAAAAAAGTTAGCATTAATAGTGCCCCTTTACATGCAAACCACAAATGAAAATCAATGTTCAGATAAAACAGAAACTAATACCAATGGACAAGTTGTCAACATCCTATTGTACACCTAAAATACAAGCTTAAATGTGTATAAGAACCAAATCATTGTTACATTTTAACTGATACCACAAAGAGAGCCGGTGAGCAGATAAAGCAATGCTTTTATCTCTAGAGGTGAAGGACATTGCAGCAATAGATCTCCTGTCACCATGTGGCACCATATTTTGAATTGTCAGGAACAAAATTCAGGTCTCAATAAAAATAAATTGGAGAAACACCAAAAGTGATAGCTTGAAAAGTCCATCCGTGCCTTCAGTAGGATTTTGTGAAAACCGTACTGATTTCAGCTTCTATTTCCATGCAACCATGTGTCCTCCACTATTCTATCCACTTTGTAGGTCTGATAGATGGGCATTGGTAGATTTAGTTGGAGTAGTGCTGACAGTTACTTGACAAGTCTCCATCTCCCTGATGGAGACTCCTCTCTAGAACAGTTGAAAGGAATATGTGCCAGCTCCGCAGAGGCCCTTCTGCAGTTCCTGATGTTTTCTTCAACTGTTCATGAAGGTAGAATTAAGCTTAGACCATGGTTAAGCTTAGATTTTGGGCTGTGCAGTAGAGCCATCGAGTCAAACACATTCTGTCTGCTCCAGAATTACTGCAGACCGCTGCCAAAGCTGTGACAAGGACAGAAGACATTAATACTTCATGCTTTGCTTCTTTCTAACAAAAGAATACTTTCTGAAAATACGTGCTGGTATCACACATCTGCAAATAAACAAATCCAATTTGATTCTCCTACTCCCTAAAGCAGGTATAAAAATTTACAATTTTTCAATATTTTGAATCCTTTTGCACAACTGTATGTAAAGACAACAGAATATTAGACCTTATAAATATTAGACCTGATATACCTGCTTGAAGTGAGAAAATACTTTCTTGTATCTCATCAGGACTCAGCTCATCTGACAAATGAAGATCCTGGATTCTCCCTGCAGCATTTGCACCAGAGAAACTTCCAACTGAAGAGCGTTCAGATTCTTGCCCTAAAAGAAAAAAACAAAACAAAGTTCAAGTTGCATTGTTGAACATGGCTTAATATGTCTTTGTTAAAGACACATTCACAAAGTTCTGAAAGTTTGCATGTTTTCACTAAATTAGCTAATACACTTTGTAAAAGCAAACAAGCCTTTAAACAGGAAATTCCTTTACCATGTTCATCACTTATATTCACAATTCTAGCTCACTAAATAGGTGTCTGATTAATAGGAAAACTAACCAGACAGTAGTGCCATATTTATGACTTAAATAAATAGTCGTTATTTAGTTTATACACAGAAAATATGAAAAACATCTTAGGATAACAATGAAATATGAAAGACTGGAAAATAATAGCGTTCCTTCATTACGTTCTAAATAGCCTTTTAAATTCTCTTGGCATCACATACAGCTGAACAAGCCAAAGATGCTATTTGATAAAACAGGGCTTGGTCAAATGCATCTTAAAAGAGCAAACAGTTTTGTACAATTACCACAATGTTGAGGACTGAAAACCTACCCCTGTAATATATGAAGGAGCTACTTGATACCCCAGATCCAAACTTCCACACTAGTCTTAGGATCTTTACAGACCTGTACCAGAATCCAAACTATACTCCATAGAAGTTTGATGTGATCAGAATGGAGTCAAGTGAGCAAGACTGGAACTCCTTTATACATTTTTATTTGCTCTTTGACTTGTGATTCTGCACAAAGAAGTCATAGCAACTCTGCTGTGAGCCTAAAAAAAAATCAGCACAACAATATAAAATAAATAAAATAAAAGTTATTTTAACAATAACTCCATCATTACTTTATATTGTCAGTTAGCAAAGGGAAAAAAACACAGGAAGTTTAAAAAAGAAGTTAAAGAAAACAAAGTCAGTGTAACCTGGTTAAAGTCACTGTTCAAAAAATAAAAGATGACAATCAAAAAATAAAGGATGACAATGTCCAAACTTTCACAAGGGATGAAATTATATTTACATTTATTTATTTATATTTATTTACATTGAATTCAACTGTCAGCAGAGGCAACCAGGCATACCCAGCCAGGATGGGAGGTGGCCAGGTGGGCTGCAGTCATCCATGGTACCACCTTCTCATTAATGGCATTAGTACTAAGAGTAGCACTGATTGCATGAACTTGTAAAGTCCACCTGTGGAACACAAACAATCTAGCTCCACAGAAAGCACAGAAATGCATGATTCTTCTCCAGTTTAGTTTGAGTGTTGTGTTTAGAAAGTGATGGGCCATATCCTTTAAAAGGTTTATATAAGACTCATTAACTGCAATGAAGGTGGACTTCCTATAGAAAATATGGGTAAGGATATCCATTTCCACTTTGAGCAAAGAAGCTCCATGCGTAGTTAATGAAACATGTGAATTCAGATTCATATCTGAATTTAAAATAATCCTTAAATGTAATTTAATTTCATCATCTTCCTGTCTACATTCAAATTCTCTTACATCTAACTTTTGATTTACATATAACCTAAATAATTTTCAAACCCAGAAACTAAATAAAATCTTTTCATATATTAATTTTCTCTATTCTTAGTCACATGTAAGGTCATTTATATGTGTGAAATAGTTAAGCATGAGATTTTAAAAACCTCTTCAGAATTCTAAAGGTGATAAGTGATATATTATCAAATTTGAAAGTCTTTTGAAAGATCAGTTTCTCACTCAAATTCAGTAATGCTTTGTTAACAGTCTTAGCTGGGATAATTAAACAATTGAAGGAACACTGAACCAGGCCTCCTGAAATAAAAACTTAATATTCAGCTTATATTTAACAGCACAGTAATTTAAGATCATGCCTGTATTTCTGTTCATGATTTATATCTAAGTAAACTCCATATTTGTCAAGATTCTCTAAAAATAGTTTGTCTGATATGATATGACCACAATTGCCATTCTTTTTCTGCAGCATGAGAGAATCATGAAACCTGACTTACACTGATTTTGCTCTCAACTGTATCTCAGTTTAGCTGCAAACCAGAAATAGTTAAGTACAGATTCTTCGACCAATGGCAATCTATAGCAAGGGATGTCTGGGTTGACACAGAATATTTACACAGAGAATACTTTATAAGTGAAAAACCACAGCAGAAATTTGTGTAAGAAAATTTTAAAATATATTTACATTTTAAAAGTATATAAAACATTTTGAATCATAGTAATGTGTAGCTCAGGACACATAAGCACTACTTTTTATATGAACAAATGTTTACATTCTATTTATATCAAACAGCCAATCATACATCAGACCAATTAACTTACAGAGAAGAAATTATTTTTATTATACTACTAATACATCTGTAAAAGATTATCTTACCTTACAAGCCTGACAAAGTAAGGAATTTAGTCCCACCTAGGTCAAATCTGAAAACCATGCATTATTCCATAAAGTAGCTAATTAAACAAAATTAGCAATTTTATAGAGAACTTACTTTATGTGCTCCACTTGCTATAACCCGTTCTATTTGATTTTTAAAAGTAGCAAGCTTTTGAAAAAAGGAAGACACATAAATTGACTCTTTCTCACTAATATTTTCATTTTACCAGTGAGATAACAGAGTAAAATACTGTATAAGTTCTTTGAACCATAAGTAGCTCATTTTACTCTTTTATTTCAATGCACAAAAAGATACTAATTTCCTAAAAAAATACTACTTATGTAGAAAAACAAGCTGTTCTTTTCTACAGGAATTTTAGCTTTCACAAGTGTGATGATGCCTACATTGAATATAATAGTATCTTAATGACATCCTCAAGTATTTTTAACATTTTAAGCTTCACACAAAAAGCTGTGAGTAGCCTTATCATTTCTGTTATCAGCTATTGCACTTAAATGTCATGTTGACCAACTTGTCTACATTGTGCTGCTCTTCTCCATAATTAAGATAATGATTTGCTACTGTTTCCATATACTGCAAGTAGGGGAGGAAAAATAAAGGATACCATTAGGAAAAAGAGTTTGAAGACTTCATAATCCTAGACTGTTCTGCACAGGTGGAGCCTGTAGGTGGTGCATCTGTTTCATGAAAAAATATTCTGCAATGCAATAGTAGTGTAGCCTCAAGGTTTAAACCTGCTTCAACATTTAAAAAAACCCATTTATGCAGTATACTTTTCCCTTTGCAAAGTCATTTGCTACAGTGCAGGGTGACTTTTCTCATCTCCCTTCAAAAGTCTACAGTTTCTTTTGACTGAACCAATTGTGTTGACTTTTCTAATTCTCCCACTTCAGGAGGCATTTCTTAAATCTCCTAACCAGAAGACCTAGATAAATGCAGCTAGATTATAGGACAGTTGTTTTGAAAACTAGTGAAAAAACCCACACCAACTGCTCATGGGAAAATTGAGGAACAGAGTCACTTCTCCCCATAAACCAAGAATATCTGTACACTGCTTTTTACAGTATATATCATTCTAATCATAATAAACTGACATGCAACATAATGGACAAAGGTACTATGGGGATTTACCTAGTAAACTTCAGTGCACAAAATACACTTATGCAAAAATATGGGTGCCACAGAAGTAAAAATAGCTATGTTTAAAATATTTTTTGAATTATCATAATATATTCTGGCTTTCAAAACCTCTAATTCCATTATGCTGGGAATAAATTGTTACTTAGTTAAAATGTTCTTGAAATAGGATTGTACTTCCATATAGAACTTCCTCCTTTATATTTCTCCATATGATTCTCCAGCAAAAGACATGTCAGAAAACACAAATCAGGTTTGCAGAATGTGTCCAGGGGCAGTAATCCTGCATAAAATACCAGTAATGGAATCACTATTTCCACTGCCTGTTCAAAGTATATATCCTCATTTCCCTATTTAAAATAAACCTGAAATTAGACATCTTTGCCACATATTTTTTAGTTGTTATTTTAACTGAGAGGACAAAATTTGTTTAGATAGGTTTCTTGGAAACAGAAGAAGTGTATGGGTCATGGTAGTTCTCTTCCCATTTCATCATCTGTAGTTGGGAATGACGCCAATAGCTAAAAATACTTCCATAAAAATAAATGTTTTACAAATAGATACTAACAAACTCTCAGCACTTCTATGCCAATATTCTGCCCAAAGTAATATAATTTTTCATTTTGATTCCATAATTGGCCACTTCAGAACAACACAAAACTATCATGGAAAGAAAACAGCAACCGTATACCTGCGTGCAAAATTTGCAGGACAGATTTTAAAGTGGCCTGAAGGTATTCCCTTGGTGGACAGCCATTCCCTGAGCCTGGTTAACATTTGAGAGCCACTTCCACTGCAGTTACATTTGCAACACACATTGCTAGATACACCAGGGTATAATCCAGCTTATCTACATATCTACTAATTTATGCTTGTTTCATCAACCTTGCCTGGGTGCTTTCATTCTAAACATAAGAGGCTTCTTTTGCCATATCACTATCACAAGGAACCACCAAAGAAAACCAAAATATAAGCCAAGTATGTCAGAATGTACAAACAGAACTTGGGAAATCACAGTGTAAGTTATTCTTAGATTTTTGGCAAAGGAAGCTGAGCCACTGACCTCCCACTGGTGAGTACTGAGTTCACATGCAAAAAAGAGATACCAGATTTAAAAATCACTTAAATGATCTGTTTTAAACTCACTATCATTTAGATAATCAAAGAAGAGATCCCTAGTTCCCCACTTGGTTCTGAATAAAGGTCCAAGAAAACTATGTGGTGTTTTTAGATTCCTCTGTAAATTCTAGAAGTTATACATTAATACCTTTCAACGCTCTAGGATTCCTTCTTTAAACTTCTGTACCACTTAAGGGTTTTTTATAAAATGTATTTGGGCTTTAAAAAGGAAAATACAATGCACTGCAAAAGAATATAGTAAAAAAACCCTGAAAAAAGCATCTTTTTTTCCACAAAAATATCTTTCTCTGCCCTCTGTATTTTTTTAAGGTCTTGTACTTTTTCCTCACATAAATGAGAGCAACATAAGAAATTTACCTCTCCAATCCTGTTACACTCAGAAATACAAATAAATACAAACAAGCAACATCAACTCATCTGAATTTTATGGAAGCCACTGGCCTCTCTCTATAAAGGCAGCAGTCCATAAAATACAAATAGAATCAGTGAAATTGATTAGAAAAGCAAATCATAGATTACAGACACCATATACAGATAAATTATCAAGAAAACATAGCAGTTAAAATTTTGGTCATCCAAATTTTGCCATATACCCAGTACTTCATTCTTCTGTCCCACTAACCTGAGCATTGCTCCTCAAAGCCAACACACAAGTGGTTGTTCAAAACTGAGGTTATGAAGTGCTGCTGGTAATTTCCACAGAAAGGTGAATTGTTGTAACAATATGGGATATTATGCATGCATCTTGTTTCTTTGGGAGAAACAAGATTTCTTTCTTGGCCTTCTTATGGAAGGCAAGAAAAAGTGGCCCTCCTTCTTGTTTATGAATGTGCTTCATATACTGACCTGCAGGTAACTCTCCTTAACTAAAGTTGTAAAGATATCTTGAAACAGCTGGTGCTTGGGATGTTTGCTAAAATTTCTCTCATTCTTGTAGGTCATGCTGATAAGGAAGAAAAAAAGAAAAATGGCGAATTGCAAATTAGCTTGCCACAAGACAGTTTTACACTGCTACAATTTAACAATAGCAGCAAAAACTAAGAAATGTCACATCAGCATTTACCACAGAATAACATGATTTCAGATTGCCAGCCATTAACAGTCTGTCTCGTGCATAATTTGGGACTATCAGAATGGTATAACTTTTCCAAATAAAGCAATTATCACTATTTAAAATGAGTTTATTAACTCTCACCAGTATACTCTGTTGACTGGGAAAACTTGAAACTTACAAAGGCAGGAACATAAACAGTAAGGTTTAAAAATTAAAAATATGTCATTCTCATCTCAAATACTGGATTAACATGAAAAGTGCAAGTAACAGACATATGTAAAAATACAAATGCCTTCAACACCTCAACAAAGTGATACTCTTAAATACATAAAGATGTTCAGAGATACAAGAGTGTCATCATCAGCTTTTTTTAAATTATTTTTACCTAAATTTTTCAAGCTCAACAGCTTCTGTTGATTCTTGCCATTGACCACTGGACTTTTGTTAATTGCTTTTGACATTTTGCCAAGTTCTTGTCACACTGGTTTGACCACTTTCAATGTATATAAGCTGGAACGAAGGATGGAAGGGATAATAGTCATGAGGCAAGCACTGCATTTTAAGTTTTAGGAGAATATTATCAGGCAAAAGTACCTTTTCTCAAGTTCTGACTTGAACTTTGGACATTAAACTTGCCATTATAGAATACACACACCCCCTCTGCAAAACAACACAGATGGGGTAGAAAACTGGTGCAAAGCAAGACTGGAAAACAAGTACAGAGAGGTAAGAAAAAGGTGAAGAACGGTGTCTTTTAAAATTCATGATAGCAAGCTTGACAAAATTTGCAACACATGCTCAGTATCCATGCTTCTTACCTGTCCCAATTCCATAATTGCATAGCCTTCACATTCTTTTTAGGTTGTACAACTCACATGTTTCAGCTTTCTGCTCAGAAGTAATTCCAGGCCTCTAACCAGGTAGAAAGTACATAACTCCTACCTCACATGGATGAATCCTTTAGTCATTTTGTCATATCTTTTTACAGCATTGAAAGGGAGAAAATGTGATTCCAAAGACTCACACCCATCATCATGTGTTGGTTTTCTTTGCTTCAAATGGCAAATACAAGCTTCACTAAGTGAGTTGAGGTGAAGAAGATTTGACTTTCTCCTGTAAGCTGGTATTTATGCCATGGATATTTTTAGCTGAAGTGTTATTCTTCAAAGACAAATTGTTTACGGTTAAAATGCTGATCTTACTTTATATTCTTTACCACTCTCCCCCATGCTGTTACTCACACATCTTTAAGCCTACCTTCATGTGACACTGTGAAAGGGCACAGAGGAAAACTAATCTGCTAGGCTACTTTACTATATGCAACCATAGCTGGATAAAATCTGCTCAAGATACAAAATAAAGCAATTTTTTCCTGTTAAAATAAAAAAAATATGATATAGTAGAATGGGAAGAGGATTGGTTTCATTCTTTTACCCATTCTAAACGTGATTTGTCCCACATAGAAGGTCTAACATTGACAAGAAAAAAAAAAAAGAGACAAGAAGAAAGATATCCACTACTCAAGATTTTGCTAACATGTTTTAATCATTACAGAATGCAATGTTCTAAGCATATGCCAGAATCCATAATCACCATTAATTATAATTCTAAAGCACATTTAATAGCAGTTATTGAAAAATACCTCTTGGTTCTTTGACTGAACACTTGAGAGACTGAAGGCTTTTTAGATCAGAATAATCCCTAGGAAAAAAAACACAACAGTGTATGTTAATAGTTACATTAAAGTATTTCCATAAGTGTAATGAACGTCAACAAGCAACAAAGCTACTGACAGAAAATAAAGTTTTCTAGCGTTGCCTGGTGTCCACATGTTGCACACAGAAGAATTTACAGCTTCTCCATCATGCTTTAAATCAACAAAGGTGTAAATAAACTTTGTGACCAGAGTAACAGTTGTCATGTTTATACTGCATTTCAAATTGAAGCATTCTGCTTTGGCAGCCAGTGCAAATTCCACATGAGTCCTGCTGAAGTTCAAAGTAAAATGTCAGATATTATACCTCCTAGAGATCCCAGGAGGCTTTTTGTCTTTTGCTTTTTCTGTGCTCCTCAGCTTTTTGTCCTGATCAGGCATTGTGTATCACTACTATTATCATTATGGGGCTAAAAAATAATTTCCTTAAAAATAAAGTAGATAGAAAGAATTGTATCACTGTAGCAAGAGGAACACATTTACTTAGAGAACCAACTGATACTGCTTTTAGGGAAAAAAAACAGCTTTGCCATTTTCTCAGCATGAAACCTTGGGCATTATATCAGGTTATCCTCTGAAATTCCAGACATTAATAAGAAAACTATTAACCCAACATACAGAAACCTTGGTTTTACAACACATGTGTAGACAATACTGTCTTGCTTTTTCAAGTATTTTTTATTAGGATTTTTCCTCCTCTTTCATCTTCTTGCCATTATTTCTCTCTGTGAATTGGCTGGTTATGTTACAGCAGTGCTTACAGGCCAATATCAAGGTTGTTAACAACAAGCTGTTGTCCAGACAACAGAGAATATAATAGTTATATCATCCAAATAATCAAGTCAAAGGAAGGGTAGAAAAAGGAGGAATCTGAAAAAAAAATTAGACACAGCGAGTTGAGAGAGGTGATTCTCTCTCTCTACTCCACTCTTCTGAGACCCCCACCTAGATTACTGCATCCAGCTCTGGGGTCCCCATCAAAAGGACAACAGGGACCTGTTGGAATGAGTCCAGAGGAGGGCAACAAAGAGGATCAGAGGGCTGGAGCAACTTCTCTCTGCTGAGAGAAGCTGAGAGAGGTAGGGTTGTTCAGCCTGGAGAAAAGAAGTCTCCAGTGGGATATCAAGCAGCAATCCCGTACCTAAAAGGGCCTACAAAAGAGTTGGAGAGGGACTTTTACACCAGCCTGTGGTGTTAGGACAAGGGATGATGACTTTATGCTAAAAGAATTCAGGTTTTGATTACTTAATAGAAGGAAATTCTTTACTGTGAAGGTGATAAGGCAGTGGAACAGGTTGCCCAAAGAAGTTGTGGACACCCCATCCATGGAAGTGTTGAAGGTCAGGTTGGATGGGGCTGTGATCAGCTTAGTATATAACGACAGGTGCCTCTGCCATGGCTTGGAACTTGATGATCTTAAGGTTCCTTCAACCCAAACCATTCTATCACACAGTCTGCCAAAGAACAACAAAAATTTGCATCAGTTTAAAATCTAGGTCTTCTGAATGCCTTATACCAAACCTACCTGTTGTCCTTGCAGTGGGACACACAGCTTCTTTCCAGAGATGAGCAGAACTATACAGCATGGCCTCATCAGGGACATTACCACACATCAAATTCCTGCAGAAAAACATTCAGTCTATAGGTCTGACCTCCCACAAAAGCCCTGAGCTAGTCATTTGCACAGTACACAGCACCTGTCACTGAAAATCTTCTGAAGCCCTCGAAGCATACAGAAAGACCTGGAAAGAGGATATTCAACAGGAATCTCTTGCTGCAACAAAAGCAGCTGTATTGATGCAGAACCTCCTCTGAGTGAAAAAAAGAGAAGGGTCAGGCACAGGCTGGGGCTGTCGAATTATCCTACAGCTGTAGCATATTGGAGAGCACTTTCAATTTAAAAACCAAGGATATAATACCACTGCTTGATCCTTTCTACCTAATTTACTGTTTACTGGACTGTTTGGATGTTTCTTTTGGTGTGTCCTTAACAGAATTTTCTGTAACGAAACTGATGGCCTCCTTTTCTTGCTGTGCAGTGTAGAATTCCTCTGCTACTGATTTTTATTTCTCCTCTTCATAAAGGCAAAGAAGAAGGAGCAAACTGGTCATGAAACAAAAGCATTGAAAATTACCAGAAGCTGCTCCTTCCCAAATGAACATCAGAGTCATTTTTCCAGTTATACAATCTCACATCATTTTTCCAGTTATACAATCACAGAACTACCCAAAATGCAACTGTTGACAGTATGAACTCGTGCACTCTATTAAATCCCTCTCGGAAGTGGCCTGTAAGCCCAGTTCATCCGTGTCTAGTCTTTTAAACAAACCTTTATCCTACCACAGGGAATCATTGATCTGCATCCACAAGAAACTTCTCTGCTCTCTTCCATGCATCTGCCCAAGAAGATTACTAAAAAACAGCTCAGAAAACTTCTGTGGCACCAGTTATTACCAGGGAAGAAATATAAACAGGATTTGTTCTACCACTCAGCAGACAAAACTACTGAGTTCAGACTAAACTGAATGCAGTTTGCTCAAAGCATTTATTTCCTTTGCTTGAAGAACATTAAAAGTTAAGAGAAGCCACATACATTGCTAAGCACATTAAGAATTCTCGGGAGTAAAAATTTCCATGTATTGTTTCAGTGATATTCTTATATCATCTCCCCAACCCCAACCTTGTGGGATAGTACTGAGGCATGACATGTTGCAATAAGCACCTCACATCTGCACAGTAGGAAATACTGTGAAACTCAAATTGTCTACTTGACCATGAGTATGTGTGCATAAAGAACAGATTCCAACGAATTAAACACCAGCCAAACCACACACAAATAACTTGTCCATGAGCAAACAGAGTTAAGCATTAAAGTTTTCAGCATCCTGTGAAATTCTTGGGTTAAATCTCCAAACCAGAAACAGCAGGTTTCCCAGTATGGCTACAATTTCCAGAACTGTTAGGTCTTTGTGATTATTTAGAACATTTTACAACTGTCAATCAACCTTGCTTTAGGGCTGCCATTCCAATTCTTTTGCTGTTTGTTCTACCTTGATGAAGATGAAACAGAGTAATAGAAGATAAATATTTTAAAGGTTTGTTGCCATTACAGATCTAAAAGTTCCTATGCATAATCGAACCTGATAAACATAAAGCCAAACTCCCTTCACTGCTGCCGAGAATGAAGGGACACTGGTCTCTCAAGGATACAGCCCTCACCCAGCTCTGAGGACTCACCCTGAGGTTACCTCTCTCTTTCCTAGAGGCCAACAAGTCACCACAGGTCAGGAAGCCCTTCAAGAAAGAGGCCAGCTCTGGTCACCAACTGACCCTGCACTGACCTCTTTAGTCTGTCAACCCAATATAATCTCAGATGCACAGCTCACTGGATTGGGAAACCCGATTCAGGTTACAAATAATCTCTTCTACTTTAGCCCTGATTATCTTGTCTCCAAAGTACTTCTACTGTACGAGGGCAGGGACAACATGCAGAAAGGAGGATTTATTCATGCAATTTAGTGTTATGCCCTTCACCTAACTACAGAGATTAAACTAAATAATTAACAGTCAGCTGCCAGTGAAAATGGCTTTCCTCATTCCTTCCCTTCCCCTTTGGCTAGCAATTCTTCTCTACCTGTTCAGCGAATCTGACCCAAACCTGAGCCAGTTTAGAGAGCTAAACACACAGAAAAAATACACTTTCCTTTGCATTGTTACTTTCCTACCAATTTAGCTCGGTTACAGTGGCCTGATGAGTGTCTCTGCTGACAGGGCAGGAATGCAGAGGTGTAAATGGAGGGAGAAGAGCAGAAAGCCCTTCAATCAGTAGCCAGTCATTAAATCAGGTAGGTATTAGTAGCACCATGTCCTGAGTGAGGGGTAGACAAACGAAAACAACTCCATTGTCTTTCTATCATCCAGAAACATGACAGAAAACAGACATTAATATTCCCTTACTTGTTCTCATAGTTATTTGACTTTCTTGAATTCACTGAGTAAGTTCCCACCTCGTATTTCTTCTTTACTTATGCCAGTAGAAATTTCCATGGAGCCAGGCTATTCACTGTCCTCACAACTATCCTCCTGCTATGACACCAGTCATAAGGAATGTATAAGAAACACACCAAACAACACTCAGTTGTGCCAGATAAAAACTGAAATCAGACAACTATTAAATAACAGAGACATGTTAAAAGAAAAATGTCTTTACAGCACAGTCTCATTTAATTCCATTTAAGACAATGAAATTAGAGCCATAGTAATGCTCTTCATTTTAATTGAGGATAATTACATTTAATTAGTTTTGTTGATTTAATTACATAGGAAGAGAGATGCATTCTGACAGCACTGGAATGAAGGCTAGGACAAGAAATGCTCCAAGAACCCTGTCAGAAATGAAAGAATCCACATGATGAGAAACAGGAGACAAAGAAATTCCCCCAGACTTGATCTGTGGACCAGTGTAGTATCTGTCCCAGATGACATAAGCACATAAGCTTCAGAAGGTAAAAACAAGCCCCCAAGCAAACAAAACCACAAAGTAGCATTGGAGGATTAATCAACCCCCACTGATTGCAGTGTAACGGTCTCTTCAACAATAAGATGTCTCACATTCCTTATAATCTTTAGTAGCAATAACGACTGGATATGGAGTTTGTAAGCCAACTAGTTGCTTGATTTTCTCCTAAACTCCTTTCTTAATTCCTCCAGTGGCCAAATTCCACTGTCTAATCATACAAAGGATAACAGGCTTAAGGTGGATAAAGAACCAGTAGATACGTTTGCTTTAATGCGACTTTTGATGCTGTTCCTAGATAGGAATGTATCTAATATCAGAATCTGGGTCAGATGAAGGTCAGGTGAAAATTCACTCCTTTAAAAGAGCAGTTAGAAACATATTATTGTCAAACATAAATGGATTTCAAACATGGCCAAAATGAATGCAAAGGAAGCATCAAAGGCGATGAAAAATTCCCAAAAGGTATTTTTATTTATCCAGTCTGTTGGAAAAAAAGGGTATTCTGGCTGACTTCCCCTCTTGTTCTCAAAGAGCATGGCACTCATAATAGATCCTCAGTGGTAGTCTGTTAGTCTAGGAAATTGTATTGAAGAACCCACAGAGTCAATGTTTGAAGAATAGTTCTTTCATTTTATTAACTGAATCAATATGGAAACTTATTTTGTGTGGTTGTTACACACAAAAACTTCCACAAACATATATGTCTCAATCTTTAATAACTTCTTTAGAGATTTTCTAAAAGTTAACAAGTATAAGGTTCTTCCTATTTTCCTTACAAATGAAAACATTTAAGCTACTGCTGTTTTGGGGTTGTTTGTCTTTTGCTGGATTTTGTTTTCTCTGTACCACCTCAATCCATAA